AACTCTGCACACAGCGCCGTTTGCTTGCATGTTGAAACACCCCGCAATGTCAAACAAACTATTTTCGCATCCCTGCTGCTGCGGGCGCTACTTACAAATCTTCGTTTGATTTTGCGTTAACTGCGCTGTCTACTTGTACGCGATTTGCAACGAATGCCGCATCCATATTGCGTATTTATTGGTCTAATGTAGCACCAACGTGTTGCCGCGTTTGCCTTCGCTGCACAGCGCTTTGTTTTTTTCTGTTTTTCGCGCCCAAACTTTTTTTATTGCATATCCTGTCGTTTTTTTTATGCACTCAGTGCTCGCCAAACATATGTGTCGATACATGCACTTGGTGCGCTGGCCCTTTAATGCTGGAATTCGACGACGTTGCCATAAACAATCACGCTCAGTCAAGGGGCGGTTTTAGACTCCTTAGTAGTAATCTAAACAAATTGCGATCATTAAGCGCGTCACCCTCTGTGGCGCTGCATAGAGCGGACGCACAAGAACAGCGGGGGTGGTCGACAGCAACTCATTGCAAAAATCACTTGCAAAAGTTGCGTAACATACGCGTTCGACGAATAAAAGTTCGCTGCTGCAATGAAATAAACATAAAATATTGTCAATCAATTCACATAGTAGTTGGCGGCCCAGCCTTAAGCGCGGCGCCCACACATACGTGTCTTGCAAAAATGGCCCAGCTCGTGCGCCAGTGACTGTTTGCGCTTGTATACTTGTAATTTATGCTGGTCAAGCTGTAGTCTAACGATGAGTTAGTCAGCGGCTAAACGAATATTTAGTATGTTCGCAAATGGTGTGGGCGTTGGAGCTTGTTACCTGTCAATGGAGAAATATGTATATATTAAGATACATGCGCGCCACTGCTAAAGAGCCTCTCAATTAATTGTGTGTGAGTAATCATGTTTGAGCAGTCAATTATAGTAACTAGCCATAATTTAGCATTGCCAGCGACGAGCGAAAGTGCTAGAAGCATGCTTTCCCATGACACTATAGTCTCGATATCTGCACTTAAAAATCTAATATGTCTATGTATAAAACTTTTCTGTAAACGGTTCAGATAGGTTACTAGCAGAGTTCATTACACGTCCCTGCAATGATACACCAAACGGCTTGATTAAACAATGTAACTTGGGCAAATAGTCATCAGACTGTAGACTCTGTTTATATCTTCAAACTGCTTATTCCAGCGAGCTGAAGGTCGAAATTTATGGTGTGATATAAGGAGTTAGCGGTAGTCGAATTTTCAAAAATCAATTTGCTTTTTGCATTATTCTTAAGCGTATATCTTGAAATATTCCTGAAAGTGATCCGATATACTTTTTGGTTATTCGAAAATAACAAAGCGCCTCGGGACTTAGTGTGAAACTTTAAATGCGTTTTCTCAAAACTATATTTTTAACTGGTGATAACTGTAACTCGAAAACCGCTCTGTCGATTTTAATGAAATTTTTACAGCTTTTAGAATACATAATAAACTCGAGTCTGGTCGAAGGATTTTTCAAAATTTCGATTTCTAAGACTAATTAACTATGATTTTTCCTGAAAACTGAAAAATTTCCTGGGGCCGCCATTTTGTTAATTTTTGAGCTTAGATCAGGCCCAGGATTATCTATTTATAACAAATTTTTTCCGATTGATTTTAGATGAATCATCCAATGACTTATGATTGTCACCGCAAGGACCTTTTGAATTTGAACTGACAATTTTTTTTTTGTTTTTGAAATTTTGTGACTTCTAGTCAAACATGTATAATAATGCCATATTACTACTTTTATAAAATATTATGATTTAATAGCAAAAAATTACGAAATTCAAATTTTTCGTGCTCTGACTAAACCCCATAGGGTGGCTATACAAAATAACCAAAATTTTTCGCTTGGTATACTGAAAACAGGTTCCTCCGCCTTACGGAGAGACCTTCGCTACAATTAAGAGCTCATACTTGGCGAGCCTGCTAAGAAGCTATTTTTAAAGTACCCAGCGAAGAAGAAACAATTTTTGAGCCACCTTAATGCATATATTACGCTTATTTTCAGAGTCTTTCGGTCGTCGGATTTGAAACTATGTCAACAAATGTTTCTAAGGAATATCCCGCTATTGTTCAATTTAGTCCACCATGGCTTCTCCTTTCTGCACTCATTTTGTGCTATATTAAGTAGCTTTTTCTAATAACTTCCCACTGTTGAC